TGGCCACAGGGCAGGCAGAGGGTGAAATGCGCCCCCCCCCCCAGTGGTGCCTTCCGCCGGGAGCCACTAGCCACACTGGGTTGTCTGCATTTTAATTTACTGAATCAAGTTGAGAATGCAGATCCACGGTCCACTGGCCGCATTTCGAGTGCTCGATAGCACACGGACCTAGCGGCTGCTGCTTGGACGGTGCCGATAAAGACCGTTTCCGTCATCGCAGGATGATGGAAGTGCTGCACGGGGCTGGACCCTGGAACTTCTCGTCGCGGCCCCGTGCTCCACGCACCGCCTCCCTGCCAGAGGAAGTAACCTCACAAGGCCGGAGGGTCTGGCCTGTTCCAGCAGCTCTGAAGAGGGTCACGTCCTACTTCATGTGCACGGCTGTTCCCTCCCGTGGGGTGATGTTGGGGTTGCAGGGGTCCCCACCCTCGCCTGCCAGGCTCTCGCTCTCGGTCTCTCTTTCGGGTTCTCGTACCCACGTGAATCTGGTTTCCTCTGTCTCTCTCTGACACTTTCTCTTCTCCCCGTGTCTCCCTCTCTCTCGCTGTATTTCACTCTCTGCTTCTCTTACAGTTTTTTGTTGTTTTTTTTTCTGATGTCTTTCTCCATCCCAAGCCTCTCTCCACCCCGGGCCCTTCTCTCCGTGCGTCTTGACTTAACTGCCTCTGTGTCTCCTCCTCCCTCTTGTTCCTCCCTCTCCAACCTCCGTCTCTCTCCCAGGGACCTCCTGACAAAGCTGCTTTGTTAGAATTTGAATCGGTGCCTCACTCAGACCTCTGGGAGCTGACCTATCCGAGTTCAGGGAAGGTTAAGAGACGATCTCTGGCAACTGTGCCTTCTCCCAGCGCAGAGAGCCCGAGCGATGTGCCAGCAGGTCGAATCCCCAGACAAAGGCACCAGCCTCCCAGCCTTGTCCAGTTGGTGTCTTTCTGGAAGCTTTGTGTTTTTCAGCATGAGCTCCCTAATGCCATGTTATTAGAATCCCCGGGTGCAGAAAGGGCCTATTTATCTTCTTTCCCCCCTTAATGCCCTTTGTGCTGATGTTTCATTGTGAGGAAGTAACTACATAAGAACATAAACGGTGCAATGAAAGCGTCCAGGGCGGGGGGGCTCCTTGCCGGCCTGTGGGGTGGGGTAGC